ATCTATGAAATCCTCATTTTTTAAATAAAATAAGGAATTTTTTTAAGGGCTTTTAGGATTATTTTTTTTTCCCAAGAAATCCACGGAATGAAAGGAAATCCATGAAATTAAAAAGAAATCACAAAGAAATCTGTGGAATTAACAAGAAATCCATGAAATTAACAAGAAATCCGTGGGATTAATAAGAAATCCCAGGAATTTTTTGGAGCTGGATTTCACTGGGAACAGCCCCCAGCAGAGAGCGGCTTTTCCACATCCATAAAATCGGATCCTTTGATTGGATTTATGGGAACACCCCAGGAACATTTGGAGTTTCTCAGGCCCAGATAAGATCGGAGAGTCTGGGCTCGGCTCAGTAAAGCCCGGCCTCGCGCTGGACTGAACCAACGGCTTTTCCGGGAATTTCGCAGGATGAGCGGCTCCAGAGGATTCACCTGTTCCCAGGAATTGTTGGAAAATTGTGCTCCCAACTCAACTTCCCTGGGCCAAAATCCCAGGATTTCCTGATCCAAAGGCAAGGAACAAACTTGTTTCTTCCAGGGATTCCGCAAGATGAGTGGCTCTGGAGGATTCGGAGGATTTCTTGGGAATTGTTGGAAAAGCTCAGTCCCAACTCAACTTTCCCGGCTCAGTTCCACGAGCAGAGCTCTCCTTGCCTTCTACTCCCCCCCAGTGGCCACAGCTCCAGGGATTTCCAGGGATTTCCCAGCTCCAGGGATTCCCAGGGATGAAATTCAAAAGAAATCCATGGAATTAACAAGAAACCCATGAAATAATAAATAAAAAAAAAAATCCGAGGAATTAAAGGAAATCTGTGGGATTAAAGAGAAATCCCAAAGAAATCCATGGAATTAACAAGAAATTCCAAAGAAATCCATGGAATTAACAAGAAATCCATGGAATTAACAAGAAATCCACCAAAACTCAACCATGGAGATGCCGTCATTGGGAGAGGGAATTGGGAATTGCTTTGGGAATGCCCCCACTCCTGATCCTGGATCCCTAAATCTGATCCCGGTGGGAAAAGGGGAATTCCAGCTCGGCCAGAGCTGCTTGATGGAAATGTCTTCGTTAGAGCGGTGCTGACTGCTCCTCCCAATTCCAGAGCCTCTGGAATTGCCGCTCCTGGAATCACCCGAGTTCCCCTTCCCAGCAGTCGGAATTTAGGGATTTTCCACTTTCCTAAATGATTCTGCTGATTCCTCCTTCAGGGCGGGAATTCCTTAAGGAGTTGGGATAATCCATGGAATTCCTAAAGAAATGGGGATAAATCCATGGAGTTCTGTAAGGAGTGGGGATAATCCATGGAATTCCTTAAGGAACAGATAATCCATGGAATTCCTTAAGGAATGGGGATAATCCATGGAATTCCTTAAAGAATGGGGATAATCCGTGGAATTCCACGGGAATCTCCGAAAGGAAGATGCTCGACTCTCCCTGAGGGGCAGCACAGGCTTGGAATTGGATTTTTCCAACTTTTTTTTTTCCCGCCTTGTTCTCCTGTTTTATTTTCCAATCAAGCTGGGAAGTTTTAGACCAAATAATAAAATAAAAAAATAAATAATAATAATAATAATAATAATAATAAAAACAATAAACTAGAATAAAACTCAAAAAAAGGCCCCAAACCCCACAAAAAAAGCTCCAAACCCTGAAAAGTCATAATCTCTTGATTTTGACCCCAAAGATCCAAATCCAGGAGTTTTGGGGATCTGCAGCCGTTGGAAAGCAGAATTCCGGTGTTCCCAGCCCAAAGCAGCACCCGGGAATGGGCTCAGACAGCGCAGAGGGAACAGAACCCAAACCCAGATCCCAGGAAACTCAAAATGAAACCCACAAAATTCAACCCCAAAACCCAAACCTTAACCCCAAACCCAAAGCTCAACCCCAAAACTTAAACTGTAATCCCAAACCCAAACTCAACCCACAAAACCAAAACTAAACCCACAAAATTCAACAACAAAACCCCAAATTAAACCCACAAACCCAAACCTTAACCCCAAATCCAATTCTGAACCCACAAAGCTCAAACCCCAAACCCATAAACCCCACAAAACTCAACACCAACCCCAAAATAAACCCAGAAAACCAAAACTAACCAACAAAGCTCAACCCCAAACCCACAAAACCAAACCCCAAACCCAAACTAAACCCACAAAACAAAGCCCCAAACTCCAAACCCACAAACCCAACCTTAATCTCAAACCTAAAATTAAACCCCAAAACCAAACCCAAACCCCAAAATCCACAAACTAAACCCACAAACACAACCTTAATCTCAAACCCAAACCCACTAAACCAAACCCCAAACCCAAAACTAAACCCACAAAACCAAACCCCAAACTAAACCCACAAAACCCAACTTTAATCCCAAACCTAAAACTATACCCACAAAACCAACAAACCAACCCCAAACCCACAAAACTCAACCCCAAACCCACAAAACAAAGCCCCAAACCCACAAAACAGAGCCCCAAACCCAAAACTAAACCCACAAAACCAAACCCAAACCCACAAAACCAAATCCCAATCCTACAAAACCAACCCCAAAGCCATAAAACCCAACCTTAATCCCAAACCCTAAACTAAACCCACAAAACACCAAACTAAATCCACAAAACTCCAAACTAAACCCCGACCCAAAAACCCCAAACCCCACAAAACCAACCCCAAATCCTAACCCCAAACTCCAAACCTACAAACCCCAAAGCCCAACCCCACAAACCCCAAAGCCCAGCCCCAGCTGCGCGTTCAGAGCGACGACAAAGCTGAAACAAACGAGCAAAAAATCTTGGGATTTGCAAATTTTCCGGGTAAAAATCATGGGATTTCAGATTTTTCTGGGTAAAAATGTTGGGATTTTCACATTTTCTGGATAAAATACCTTGGGATTTTCAAGTATTTTAGATTAAAACTTTGGTATTTTAACATTTTCTGGGTAAAACCCTTGGGATTTTCACTTTTCCTGGATAAAAACCTTGGGATTTTCACATTTTTCGGATAAAAGCTTTGGGATTTTAACATTTCCTGGATAAAAACCTTGGGATTTTAACGTTTTCTGAATAAAAACCTTGGGGTTTTCACATTTTAACATTTTCTGGGTAAAAATCACAGAGAAAAACCTCAATTTTAACTCGACACAGAATCTGATTTTTAGATTTTTAATTCCAGAAATCCCAGTTTTCCGTTTTTAATGCCACAAATCCGGTTTTTAATGTCAAAATTCTGGTTTTATACAACGGAACCAAATCCCAGACAAGAAGGGACGGAAGAAGGAGCCAATCCTTCCATAAATTAAATGTTAGCAATTAAGCAGGACAGGAATTAACACCAGGAAATTCCCGGCTCCAGAGGTGCAATTCCTTGGAATTATTTGCATAGTTCCTCCTTTTTTTTTTTTTTTCCCTTTGGAATTTGAAAAATCCTCAGGAATTCGGAGAAATTCCAGGAGAAATTCCAGGAGAAATTCCAGGAGAAATTCCAGGAGAAAAGCTCCAGCCAGGATTTCTGCTCTTGAAGGGAAGAAAAAAATCAAAATCTCAGCAGCACAAAAAAATGGAAATGATCCAAATTCCAAGTTGGCATTTCCCAGATCCTCCAAAAAATGGGAAAGGTTCCAGCTGGAATTCCTTGGCCAGAAGGAAAATTGGTTTCTTTATCATAATAAAGAGGAAAAATCTGGAATTCCAGGGGGTTTTTGGCACATGGTTTGGGTTTTATCCCTGAAAATTCCACAAAAATCTCATTTTTTCAGGAGATCAAGGTGAAACCAGCTGCCCCGAAATTCCCAGAAAAATGGGATTATTCCATGGGATAAACGGATTTCTTCCCATGCCAAATTCTCCTCTTGGGAAGTGTGAACCCCAGGGAAGAGGGAACAGGGATTCTCCGTGGGGGAGGCAGATCCAAGAGTTTTGTTCTCATTTTCCCCCCAAAAAAACCTTTGGGAAAAGGGAGAACCAACGGTTCCCGCGGCCATCGCTGCCAGGGAATGTTGGGCATCCCAAGGAATTCCTTTGGGAGCAGCACGGGGAGCTGGGAATGCTCGGAGTTGGAATTCCAGGGGCTGACGGTGACTTTTCCATGGATTTAGGATTCTCAGGCATGGATGGAAAAGTTGGAGGAGGAGGAAAAAACCCCTCCTTTTCCAGTTATTTCATCTTCCCAAAATTCCTCAGGCAGAAAGAAGATCCATGGGAGATGTGGAGGCTGGTGCTTGGAATTCAGGAATGCCTCTGGAAGTCGGGAAAGCCTCTGGAAGTTGGGAATGCCCTGCTAATTCCAGAGATTTCCCAAAACCAAATCCCATTTTTCCACCGACTGGAGTTGTCCCGACGCCTCCGGCTCATCCCAAAAATCCCTGGCTGCTCCAATGCAGGAACTGTCTCCTTTCCACACGGAATGCAGGCAGCAGGGATAATCCTTGGAGAACACTTTATCCGAGGATTCAGCTGGAAAAACTCCCAAAAATCATTCCCAGGTTTGGGATCGGGCCTGGACTGAGCACCAAGATCGGGAAACGCTCCCAGGTGGAGCCGGGAGCTGAGAAGGTGCCGGAATTCGCTTCCGAAGGATTCTGCATCCCAATTATTGGCATAATCGGTTCTCCATAATTAATTATTCATAATCAATCAGCGACATCAATCAGCGTCATCAATCAATCAATCAATCAATCACTATCCCAGGTGGAAGCAGCAACACTTGAGGGATCCCTCGGCCAAGTCTCCATCCCGGGATGGATCCCAGGAATCCCAGGATTCCGGGGCATGCAGCGCTGCCGGCTCCTCCTGGGGTCATATCCCAGGGAAAGGCCCTGAATCCCCCAAGGATCCTCCCCAAATTCCCAAAGCATCCTCCCCAAATTCCCAAAGCATCCTCCCCAAATTCTTTAAGGATTCTCCCCACACAGGGAAATTCCCCCAAATTCCCTAAGGATTCTCCCCAAATTCCAGACGGATCCTCCCCAAAGTCCCCAAATTCCCCAAGGATTCTCCCCAAATTCCCAAAGGATCCTCCCCAAATTCCCAAAGGATCCTCCCCACACAGGGAAATTCCCCCAAATTCCCAAAGAATTCTCCTCACAAGTCCTTGAAATTCCTTAAGGACTGTCCCCAAATTCCCCAAGGATTCTCCCCAAATTCCTTAAAGATTCTCCCCAAATTCCCCAAGGATCCTCCCCACACAGGAAAAGGCACCAAGATTCCTTAAGGATTCTCCTCTCCAGTCCTGGAAATTCCTCAGGAATTCTTCGTGAAGAGGAAAGATCCGCCCAGTTCCTCAGGAATTCCATCCCATCCTCCGGAGCGGGACCAGGAGCCTCTGGAGTCCCTGGGTGGGTCTGGCCCAAACCCTTCGGCTTCCCGAGGGAGCGGCGGCTTCCCGGTGTTCCCAGGATTCCCAGGATTGCCGGGATTCCCGGGATTCGGGGCTCAGACGTGGCTGACGCGGCTGTCGGCGGGGCCGGAGCGCTCGCGGCGCTCGTAGCGCGGCTTCCGCACTGCCGGGAACAAATCCCACAAATCCCACAAATCCCGCAATTCCCAAAGGGACGAGGAGGCGGAAGGGGGGGGTCGCTGCCCAAGGGAGGTTTGGGGATTTTTGGGGAAGTTTAAGGTCAAAGTTAAACCTAAATCAACAAAATTCAGCCCCCAAATGTAAAGCCACAAACCCCAAATTAAACCCAAAACCAAACCCAATCCCAAAATTAAACCCAAACACTGAAATCCAAACCCCAAAATGATACTCACAAAACCCAAACCCAAAAACCTGAAATCCAAACCCAAAATTAAACCCAAAACCAAATCTAAACGCCAAAATGAAACCCACAAAACCCAATCCCAAAATTAAACCCAAAACCAAACCCAATCTCAAAATTAAACCCAAACACTGAAATCCAAACCCCAAAATGATACTCACAAAACCCAAACCCAAAAATTAAACCCAAACACTGAAATCCAAACCCCAAAATGATACTCACAAAACCCAAACCCAAAAACCTGAAATCCAAACCCAAAATTAATCCCCAAACCAAATCCAAACCCAAAATGAAACCCACAAAACCCAAATCCAAAAACCTGAAATCCAAACCCAAAATTAAACCCAAAACCAAATCTAAACCCCAAAATGAAACCCACAAAACCCAATCCCAAAATTAAACCCAAACACTGAAATCCAAACCCCAAAATGATACTCACAAAACCCAAACCCAAAAACTTGAAATCCAAACCCAAAATTAAACCCAAAACCAAATCCAAACCCAAAATGAAACCCACAAAACCCGAACCTAAAATTAAACCCAAAAAACCCAAACCCCACAAGACCCAACCACAAACCCAAACCCACAAACTCAACCCCAAAAGCAAAATGAAACCCTCAAAACCCACAAAACCCAACCCCAAACCCCATAAAACTCAACCAAAAACCCAAAACCCAAACCTAAACCCACAAACTCCATCCCAAAACCAAAATGCAACCCACAAACCCAAACCCCACAAAACCCAACCCCAAATTTAAACCCCCAGAACCCAAACCTCCAAACCCAAATCTAAACCCACAAAACCAAAATTAAACCCCAAAACCCAAACCCCACAAACCCAAACCCCACAAACCCAAACCCCACAAAACTCAACCAAAAACCCAAAACCCAAACTTAAACCCACAAACTTCATCCCAAAACCAAAATGCAACCCACAAACCCAAACCCCACAAACCCAAACCCCACAAAACCAAACCTCACAAAACCCAAGCTAAAAACCAAACCTAAAATCTCCAAACCCGAACCTAAACCCACAAACCCAAACCTAAACCCACAAACCCAAACCCACAAACCCAACCCCAAAACCAAACCTAAACCCACAAACCCAAACCCCACAAAACCAAACCTCACAAAACCCAAACCCAAAAACAAACCTAAAATCTCCAAACAAACCTAAAATCTCCAAACCCGAACCTAAACCCACAAACCCAACCCCAAACCCCACAAAACTCAACCACAAATTTAAGCCCCCAAACTCCAAACCTCCAACCCCAAATCTAAACCCACAAAACCCAAGCACAAAACCAAATTTAAACCTCCAACCCCAAATCTAAACCCCCAACCCCCAAATTAAACCGATTAAAATTTAATTTAATGAAGTTTAACTAAAATTAAACCCAAACACCCAAACCTCCAAACCCAATCCCACAAAACCCAACCCCAAACCCCAATATCCATTTTCCACCCCAAAATTCCCGTGGTATTTTGGCCTGTGTGAAGTAAAGCAACGGATCCCACGGGAAAAAGCAAATTCCATGGGGTTTCTCTTCCCTGCACACATTCCAGGCTTTATCCCGAGAACTTTTGGGATTTTTCCATTTATTTTTAGCAGATTCCAGGGGAGATTTCCTCACCTGAAGAAGTTGGAGGAGGGATCATGGATGCCTGTGGAGCAGGAGAAGGAAAATAAGGTCAAAAAAAAGCATTTCTTAACTGTTCTTCCATAAAAATCCTGGAGTTTTTAAGAATTCCGATAGTATCCATGTCTAAAAAACCACTTTTCAACAGTTTTTCCATAAAAATCCTGAATTTTTTAGGATTCCAATGATATTTATGTTAAAAAAAAGCACTTTTTAAACAGTTTTTCCTTAAAAATCCTGGGATTTTTAAGAATTCCAATAGTATCCATGTCAAAAAAATGCACTTTTCAACAGTTTTTCCTTAAAAATCTTGGAATTTTTCAGGATTCTAATAAAATCCAGGTTAAAAAAAAGCACTTTTTAACCATTTTTCCTAAAAAAATCCTGGAAATTTTTAGGATTCCAGTAATATTCATTTGGAAATAAAAACTTTATAACAGTTTTTCCTTAAATAAAATCAGGATTTTTTTTAGGATTCCTTGAATTTTCACTGTGTATAGTTTTTTTCTTGGAAAAAACCCTTGATTTTTCCATTTTTGTCCCAATTTGGATCCAAAGAACCTCAAAATATCTTGGATTTTCTTTCAGTCTCATTCATTAAGGAGCTGCTTAATAAAGTTTCAATTTTGTTAATTAAAATGGGAATTATTGTTAATTTAAAAGGAAATGATTGTTAATTAAAATGGGAATTAAGGTTAATTAAAAAGGGAATTATTGTTAATTTCATGTTCCTATAAAAGCAGAATTCACTCACAGTTTCACTGGGCTGGAGAACAGATGCTAAAAGAGAGAAAAAAAGAGATTAATTAAGATTATTTTAATTAATTTCAAGACCAGAATTGTTCATTTTCCAAAAACACAGCCATGGATGGAATAATTTTATTGTTAAAAAAGGAATTTTGTCCTAAAATCCAACCAAAATATTCCAAAATTCCCTTTGGGGGATTTAACTGGGTGGAGGATCCTTTAGACCGAAGAATTTCTTGGCAGAAAATGAGAATTTCTTGGCACAAAATGGGAATTTCTTGGCACAAAATAGGGATTTATGAGCTCAAAAAGGGGATTTTCTCTAAAAAAAAAGAAATTTCCTCCAAGAAAGGGAATTCAGCAGCACAAAGTGGGAATTTCCTCCACAAAACAGGATTTTATTGGCATAAAATGGGGATTTTCTTCACAAAATTAGAATTTACTGGTACAAAATTGGAATTTCCTCACAAAATGGGGATTTTCTCCTCTAAATGGGCAATTTATCAGCAGAAATTGGGAATTTCCTCCAAAAAAAGGGAATTCAGCAGCATAAAATGGGAATTTATTGGAACAAAATGGGAATTTATGAGCTCAAAATGGGAATTTCCTCCACAAAATGGGAATTCATTGGCACAAAACAGGAATTTTCTCCACAAAACAGGGATTTATGAGCTCAAAATGGGAATTTATTGGCACAAATTGGGGATTTTCTCCACAAAATTGGGAATTTTCTCCACAAAATTGGGGATTTAACAGCCCAAAATGGGAAATTTTCTCCACAAAACAAGATTTTATTGGCATAAAATTGGAATTTCCTCCACAAAATTGGGATTTTCTCCTCTAAATGGGCAATTTATCAGCACAAAATGGGAATTTCCTCCAAAAACAGGGAATTCAGCAACATAAAATGGGATTTTATTGGTACAAAATGGGAATTTTCTCTACAAAATTGGAATTTATTGGCACAAAATGAGAATTTTCTCCACAAAATTGGGGATTTATGAGCTCCAAATGGGAATTTTCTCCACAATATTGGAATTTATTGGTACAAAATGGGATTTTCACCACAAAATTGGAATTTATTGGCACAAAATGAGACTTTTCTCCACAAAATGGGGATTTATGAGCTCAGAATGGGAATTTCTTGGCACAAAATGAGAATTTTCTCCACAAAATGGGGATTTATGATCTCAAAATGGGGAATTTTCTCCACAAATTGGGAATTTCTTGGCACAAAATGAGAATTTTCTCCACAAAATAGGGATATAGGAGCTCAAAATGGGAATTTCCTGACACAAAATGGGAATTTTCTCCACAAAACGGGGATTTATGAACTCAAAATGGGAATTTCTTGGCACAAAATGGGAATTTTCAGGTTTCAGTTCCCAATTCAATCAATTAGCAGAGCGAGGTTCATTAAGGAATGGATAATTAAGGTTGTTTTTTTTTTACCTTTGTTCCTCCTGTAGAAAACCTTTGGGAGTTTGTTGGTTCGTTTGAGGTAGAAAAACGAAGCCACCGAGAGGATGAGGAATAAACTGAGGAAAAACGTCCCCAAAATCAGGGAAGCGGCGACTTCCGGGCCCCCTGGAAACATAAAAATTATCAAAATAAAAAATCTGCTCTGGGCCAAAAATTTTCATCGAAGGATTAAATCCAAATAATGAGAAAATTATGGATTTTGGGTGTTGTTGGGTAAGTGTTCAATCATATGATAAATTCAATCATTTTTTAACTCATTAATTTTTTTTCCTCATTAAATTGCTTTTAAACTCATTAAATCAAATTTTTACCTCATTTTAACAAATTAAATCCCTTTTGGAACTCATTTTAACAAATTCAGCCACACTTAAAACTCCTTATATCCATTTTTTGAGTCGTTTTAAACTCATTAAATTCATTTTTTAACTGATTAAATCCATTTTTTAACTCATTTTAACGAATTAAATCACTTTTTAAACTAATTAAATCCCTTTATAAATTCATTAAATCAATTTTTAAACTAAATTCTAACAAATTTAATCCCTTTTAAATTCATTAAATCAAATTTTTAACTGATGTTAACAAATTCAGTCACACTTAAAACTCCTTAAATTCATTTTTGACGTGTTTTAACAAATTAAATCCCTTTTAAACTCATTAAATCCCGTTTAAAACCCATTTTAACAAATTCAATCACTTATAAACTCATTAAATTCCTTTTTTAACTCATCTGAAAAATTAAATCATGTTTCAAATTCATTTTAACAAGTTAAAGCCCTTTTAAAACACATTAAATCCATTTTTAACTAATTTTAACCAATTCAATCCCATTTTTAACTCATTGAATCCTTTTTTAAACTCACTAAATGCATTTTCAAACTAATTTTAACAATTAAGTGTCATTGTTAACCCATTCTATCCCATTTTTAACTCATTTTCACCAATTCAATCCCTTTTTAACCCATTTTAATGAATTCAATCCCATTTTTAACCCATTTTCACCAATTAAATCCATTTTTAATCAACTCTATCCCATTTTAAACCCATTTTAACAAATTCAATCTCAATTTTAACCATTTTTAACCAATTCAATCCCATTTTTAATCCATTTTCCTCAATTCAATCCCATTTTAACCAATTAAAACAAATTCAATCCATTTTTAACCCATTCAATCCCATTTTTAACCCATTTTCACCAATTAAATCAATTTTTAACCCATTCAGTCCCATTTTAACCCATTTTTAACCCTTTCAATCCCATTTTTTAACCCATTCAGTCCTGTTTTTAACCCATTCAGTCCCATTTTTAACCCATTTTTGACCCATTCAATCCCATTTTTAACCTATTCTCACCGATTCAATCCCATTTTTAACCAACTCAATCCCATTCAATCCCATTTTTAACCCATTCAGTCCCGTTTTTAACCAATTCAATCCTATTTTTAACCCATTCAGTCCCGTTTTTAACCCATTCAGTCCCGTTTTTAACCAATTCAATCCTATTTTTAACCCATTCAGTCCCGTTTTTAACCCATTCAGTCCCGTTTTTAACCCATTCAGTCCCGTTTTTAACCCATTCAGTCCCATTTTTAACCCATTCAATCCCATTTTTAACCCCTCCGCTCGCTCTCCTCAGTCCCAGACTCACCGAAGCCGTGGCCGAGGGCCGTGGCCGTGCTCTCGTTCCTCTCGGGGCTCATCCCTCGGCTCCCGGCTGCAAGGGAAATCCCAAATTTCCCCAATTCCACCCTGGCCCGAGGCTGCACTTTGCCCCAAATTCCCACTCTTTCCGCCCAAAGCTGCCCTTGGGAAAGGTTTGGATATTCTGGGGGAGGAAAATCGCCATTTGCTGCTGCTGTTTTGGGTTTTTGGTGCAGGAATCGCTGACAATAATTAAAAAATAATTATAATTAATTACAGCTAAATTAAAATTAATTTACAAAATTAATATGAACAAAAATTAAAGGATGAGGGATAAAAAAATCTCCATCTTTTGCTGCATTTTGGAAGAGTTTTTGCAGTAATTGATTAATACTGCATTTTGGAAGAGTTTTTGCAGTAATTGATTAATAATTAATTAATAAAATTATGTAAATTAGTTGGAAGTCATGTGAATGAAATGAACGAGGGGAATTAACGGGAATGGACTGAGATGAACTAATGGGAATTAATGGGAATGGACTGAAATTAATTAACGGGAATTAACGGGAATGGACTGAGATGAATTAACGGGAATGAACGGGAATGGACTGAGATGAACTAATGGGAATTAATGGGAATGGACAGAAATTTGAGGTGAATTAATGGGAATGGACTGAAATGAATTAACAGGAATTAACAGGAATGGACTGAGATGAATTAACGGGAATTAACGGGAATGGACTGCGATGAATTAATGGGAATGGACTGAGATGAATTAACGGGAATGAATGGAGATGAATTAATGGGAATGAATGGGAATGGACTGAAATGAATTAATGGGAATTAATGGGAACAACTGATCTGAATTAACGGGAATTAACAGGAAGGACTGAGATGAATGAACAGGAATGAACAGGAATGGACTGAGCTGAATTAACAGGAATTAACAGGAAGGACTGAAATGAATTAACGGGAATGAACAGAAATGGACTCAGCTGAATTAACAGGAATTAACAGGAAGGACTGAAATGAATGAACGGGAATGAACGGGAAAGGACTGAGATGAATTAACGGGAATGGACTGAGCTGAATTAACAGGAAGGACTGAGCTGAATGAACAGGAATTAACAGGAAGGACTGAGCTGAATGAACGGGAATGAATGGATCTGGACTCACGGGTGCTGCAGTCGCCGAGGTCGCTCCCGTTGCGGCAGCGGACACAGCTGCTGCTCCCGTCCTCGGCCCAGTGCCGGTAGCAGCCTGCGGGACAGGAGAGCGCTGAGCCGGCAATTCCCATCCCGGCAATTCCCACAATTACTGGGATACACCGCAGGAATTCCCTTTGGGGGGCAGGAATGGCACCCCATTCCCCTTGCCCACAGGAAAGAGGGTCTGTTCCCAATGTTTGCTCCCAAGGTCTGTATTCCCAGGGTTTGTTCCCAAAGTTCCCAATGTATGTTCCCAACGTTTCTTTTCCTAATGTTTTTGTTCCCAATGTTTTTATCCCCAATGTTTCTTTTCCCTTTGTTTTTATTCCCAATGTTTTTATTCCCAATGTTTCTTCCATTTCCCAGGAAAAATAAAACTTTACAAAGGAAAAAAAAGAGAAGGAAGAACACAGGAATAACAAAAATCTGGGAATTTTTTCTCCCTGGAATTCTCCAAGGCCAGCTTGCTCTCTGCCCATGGAACGACTGATCCTTAAGAGCTTTTCTGGTCCCAGATTCCCTGGATTTTTCCCAAGGAATTCCCTACCTGGGCTGCACTGCTGCGTGACCGGGCAGGAGCTGTTGGAGTCCAACGTTTCCACACAACATTCCGGGTCTGGCACCTGAGGAGAGAAATTCCCAGGGAAATTCCCATTTGCCAGGGAGGAAAATGCCTCCACCAAAGGAAAAACCTCCACAGAAATTCAGGATAATTCGGTTAAAACCCCCTGGAATTTTTTTCCCAGCAAGAAGGAGAGAACTTTGTTTATTTTTAATTTTGTTTCTTGTTTTATGAATTGATTTTATTTTCATAAAACAATTTTATTTTTGTTTTATCGATGAAATTTTTATTTTAGAAATGAAAATAGAGAAAATCTGGGATCAAATCAAAATCAAATAAAAAAATAAAATTTAAATAAAATATAGAAAAAATTAAAAATAAAGTAAAAAATTAAAAAAATAAAAATTAAATTTAAAATAAAAAAATAATTTAAAATAAATAATAAAATAAAGAAAAATCAAAAAATTAAAAAATGAAAAAGTAAAAACATTTTAAAAATTAAAAAATAGAAAAAGTTAAAAAATAAAAAATAGAAAAAATGAAAAAATAAAATAAAAATAAAATAAAAAATAATAAATAAATAAAAAATTAAACATATAAAAAGTAAAAATAAAAAATAAAAAAATAATTAAAATAAAATAAAAAATAATCAATAAAATAAAAAATAAAATAAAAAAAACAAAACAAAATAAAATAATCTGGCTTGGAGCAGGAAAAATTTCTGGAGAACCCACCAAATTTTCCGTGGATTTTCCGGCAACTTCTGCCACGAGCCTGGTTAGGAGAAGCACAAAGGGCACCTCCATTGCCAGGAAAAACACCGATCTGGAGAAAAATGGGGAATAAATTCAAATTATTTATTAATTATTAATTAATTCTGCTTCCCTTTGTTAAGGGGATAAAAGGGAGGGAAAAAAAGAAGGCTGGGAAGAGTCAGAAAACACAGGAAAAATTATTTATTATAAAATATAATAAAATTAAACAATTAATGAGATTTTTGTCAATACCTGCTGATTCAAAGTAAGAAAACACATGAAAAAAGATTATTTATTACAAAACAATAAAAATATATTAAATATGAATTTTTCTATAAAACATACAAAAATATAATAAAATTACATTCTCAATTAAATTATCAATATTATAAATTCTTAATTTTTGTCAAACCCTGCTGATTCAGAGCCAGAAAACACATTAAAAAGGATTAATTATTATAAAACATAATTTAAATATAACAAATATATTTTTCTATAAAAGATAATAAAATTAAATTATTAATGTTAATTACATTCTGAATTTTTGTCAATCCCTGCTGCTTCAAAGACTCAAAAATCACAAGTAAGGAAGGATTATTTATTACAAATAAACCACACTAAAATAAAATTCTTATTTAAAAACCAGATTGTCCTTACCTAGAACAGGAACCGTGAAGAGCAGCTCATAATAAAGGGAAAATTAGGGTGGAGAAACCACTTGGAAGCACGGGATGGTCCTGATCAGCTCATTCCTGGCTGGATTCCCATCCCTAAAATAAACCAGGATCCCTCAGGAGCCGCAGGGCTCATCCCGAGCCTGCCCCGCTCCAGTGTTCTCATTTCCAGCAGCCAATTTTACTCCATTTTTATTTCATTTTTAAAATTATTTTGTTTTTACTTCAATTCTGCTTAATATTTTTAATTATTTTTACTTCATTTTTATTTCATTTTTTAAATTATTTTTACTTAATTTTAATCAATTTTTACTTCATTTTAAAAATTACTTCGGTTTTACTTCATTTCTGCTTAATTTTTAAATTATTTTTACTTTATTTTACTTCATTTTTACTTCATTTTTAAAATTACTTTCCTTTTCACTTGATTTTTTAAAGTTACTTTATTTTTACTTCATTTTACTTAATTTTTACTTCATTTTAAAAATTATTTTCCTTTTTACTTCATTTCTGCTTAGTTTTTAAATGATTCTTACTTAATTTCCAGTTAATTTGTAAAATTACTTTCTTTTCACTTCATTTCTGCTTAATATTTTTAATTATTTTTACATTTTAACTTCATTTTTTAAATTCTTTTCTTTTTACTTCATTCCTGCTTCATTTTTTAAAAATATTATTACTTTATATTACTTAATTTTTGCTTCATTTTAAAAATTATTAAATTAATTAAAATAAAATTAAAATTATTTTAAAAAGGAGATATGAATTAAAAAGTATTTTCCCCTCAGGATTTTCCCGCCATCACAGGAAAATATTGGAATTCCAAGCAGGATCTCACAGCCCGGGAAGGAACAACTCCTTTGGGCCAAAGCTGCCTCCATGGATGGGGTTTTACTTCAGAAATTGAAATTTAGAGAGGAAAAACTATCCCAAAAACCTTCAGGAGATTTGGGATCCACCAAGGCTGAGGAGAGGCTGAGCTTGGAAAGGGAGCGGGAGAGGAAATCTGGGTGGGAAATTGGGAAGGGTTGGAAAGGCAGAAATGATCAAACAGAGGAAAATCAGAGAGGTTTTAAGAGCTGAAATGATAAAAGTATGGAAAATGATAAAAACTGAAATGATAAAACTGAGAAAAGAAGGTGAAATGATAAAATTGAGAGAAGAAAGGAATGGTTTTAAATGTTGAAATGATAAAATTAAATTATAAAATTGATAAAATGGAAGGGTTGGAGAAGCTGAAATAAAACTGAGAGCAGAACCACAGGGTTTTAAAAGTTGGAATTGTAAGATTGAGAGAAGAATTGTGAAGAGTTTTAAAAGGTGAAATAAAAAAAATGAGAGCAGAACCAGAAGGTTTTAAAGGTTGAAATGATAAAACTGAGAGAAGAATTGCAGGTTTTTCAAAAAGTGAAATGATAAAATGAAATTATAAAAACTGAAAGAAGAATTAAAGTGTTTTAAGCATTGAAGTGATAAAACCGAGAGAGGAATGAAAGGGTTTTAAAAGCTGAAATTATAATATTGAGGGCAGAACTAAAGGATTTTAGAAGTTGAAATGAAAAAATTGAGAGAATTAAAGGGTTTTAAAATGTGAAATGATAAAATTGAGAGTGGAACCAGAGGACTTTAAACATTGAAATGATAAAACTGAGAGAAGAATGAAAGGGTTTTAAAAGGTGAAATGATAAAGATGAGAGAAGAACCAGAGGGTTTTAAAAGGTGAAATTACAAATCTGAGAAGAAAAGCTGAAATGATAAAATTGAAAGCAGAAAGGAAGGGTTTTAAACATTGAAATAATAAAACTGAGAGCAGAACCAGAGGGTTGGAAAACTTGAAATGATAAAACTGAGAGAAGAATTAAAAGATTTTAAAAGGTGAAATGATGAAATTGAGAGCAGAATGGAAGAGTTTTAAACATGGAAATGATCAGAGAGAAGATGGAAAAGGTTTTAATGATAAAATTGAGAGAAGAATTAAAGTGTTTTAAACATTGAAAATATAAAATTGAGAGCAGAATGGAAGAATTTTAAACATGAAAATGCCAAACCAGAGCAGAGTGCCTGGATTCTAAAAGCTGAAATGATAAAACAGAGCAGAATGAAAGGGTTTTAAAAGGTGAAATGACAAAATTGAGAGCAGAATTAAAGGGTTTTAAACATGGAAATGCCAGAGGAGAGCAGAATGGAAGAGTTTTAAACATGGAAATGACAAAATTGAGAGCAGAACCAGAGGGTTGGAAAAGTTTAAATGATAAAACTGAGAAGAAAACTTGAAATGATAAAACTGAGAGAATAATGCAAAGGTTTTAAAAAATGAAATTACAAAACTGAGCGCAGAATAGCAGGGTTTTAAAAGCAGAAATGACAAAATTGAGAGCAGAATGGAAGGATTTTAAAAGGTGATATGATAAAACAGAGAAGAATGGAAGGGTTTTAAAAGGTGAAATGATGAAATTGAGAGCAGAATGGAAGGGTATTAAACATGGAAATGATAAACCAGAGCAGAATAGAAGGGTTTTAAACATGGAAATCATAAAACAGAGCAGAATGGAAGGGTTTTAAACATGGAAATGCCAGAGCAGAGCAGAATGGAAACGTTTTACACATGGAAATGCCAAATCAGAGCAGAATTAAAGGGTTTTAAACGTGGAAATGCCAGAGCTGAGCAGAGTGCCAGGGTTTTACACAGGGAAATGATAAGCCAGAGCAAAGTGCTAGGGTTTTACACATGGAAATGCCAGAGCAGAGCAGGTTTTGTGGGCTGCCCATGCCACTCACCAGCCCCTGGAGGCTCCCTGGAGTCCCGAGTGCCTTTTCCAGCCTCCAGCCAACGCCTTTGCCTCGTGCTTTGCTGCTCATCCCCCGTTGCACAACGCACCTGCCCTGGCAGAGACACGGAAAGGGTTTATTTGTTTGAACGATCTTTTCTCAATCCCAGCTGGAGGAGGACTCGTTTTTCCAGCTCTGAGCAGAGCTCCAGTCCTGCCCTTCCACGCTGGGGTTTTGTACCAGCGCTCAGCAATTAAAACCTCAGTTCAGTCACAGCCACCTTAAGCCAGGCTTTGTGTTTTGCTCCACACCTGCCTGGAGCAACCAGGCATGAATATTTACTGCTGGGACACCTTCTGCTCTTCCAGCCTTGCTGCAGCCTGGAAAGCCAGCAGGAGAAGTGAATATTGTCCAGGGAGAAGCGGTTTGGGAATGGGATAAAGGAATGGGTTGGCTCGGAAGGGATTTCAGGGCATTCAGTGCCAGCCCCAGCCACGGCAGGGCCACCCTGCACTGTCCAGCGTGTCCTTGGACATTCCAGGGATGGGATATCCATGGAATAACCAGTGCCAGGGCCTCAGCACCCTCACAGGGGGGAATTCCTTCCCAATATCCAAGCTAAACCCACTCCCTGTCACTTGGAAGGAATTCCCCCCTTATCCTGTCATTCCATCCCCTGGAGATATTCCCTTTCCATCTTTCCTGGAAGGTCACAGAGAGGTCACCGCAAAGTTTCCCTTCTCCAGGCTCAACAATCCCGATGTTTCTATGGCCAGTTTGGGGGGTTTTCACCCCTAAACGGTGCACTAAAATCCCTATTATTGGGCTGTGCATCTGCGGGAAGCTTAGCCACCACAAACACACCAGAACAGTAACACCAAATACCCGCAACCCCAACAGCTTAGCTTGGCAGAAAATTGTCTCCAACCCAATTAAATTACTAGGAAATAAAGCACCCAAAGTTTCGGGGGGTGGGATAAGAAGGAGAAGGTTCCTTTCCAAACGCAGCAGCAACCCGCTGGCCCCAAAAGCGCTGGGCGAGGAGGAGGAACAAGGGGCGATTTCAAATCCTAAAGCCAAACCCCTCCGACCCCCATGGTGCCGATTTCCCTGGAGAACTCGGGGAATCCATGAGGAAGCGCTGCCCTCCCGGCTCTCCGCGAACAATGGGGCCCCACCCCGCGCTCGCCGCTCGCCCCGGGGGTCGCCGCCCGTTCCCCCTCCCTAAT